TTCCTTTTCTCTTGTAATTTTAAGGTTAAAATTTTTATTTGGTCTCTTATAATATTTTTTTTTCTTTAATTCAATCTCATTTTAATTTTTGGTTTCAATTTGGTCCCCAATAATTTAAATTATTGCAATTTGGGACTTCCGTCCAAATGATTTAAACGGAGTTAACTATTGGCCACGTGGACGCCATGTAGATGCGTAGATGGATGCCAAATTTTTTGAATACACCTGGAACCAGAACGGGCTGTTCTGGTTTTAGAACGGGCCATTCTGATTTCACTTGTTATGTGTTAATTTGGCGTCCTCCTATGCATCTGTTTAAATCATTTAGACGGAAGTCCCAAATTACAATAATTTAAATTATTGAAGACTAAATTGAAATTAATAAAAAATTAAAGTGAGACTAAATTAAAACAAAAAATATTATAAGGGACCAAATAAGGGTTTTAACCTAATTTTAATCAATCGAATAAGACTTGTCTTCTTTCTCTACATACTTTGATAATATGGTATTAGATTAATATTGTGCTTCTGCGATTCTTTAGCTCCACCCTTTCTTGCTTACCATGGCCGATTCATCTTCTACAAGTCATGTTGAAGTACACCAGCAAGGATCAAATGTTGTGACAAGCAACACCAATCTTGATATCTCGTAGATTCCAACAAGCCCCTATTATACATCTCGGTGAAAACCTAGGAGCTGTTCTTGTGTCACCACCACACAACAGTGACAATTTTCATTCTTGGAGTTGTGCAATGCAATGAACTCTTTTAACAAAAAATAAGCACAAGTTCTTTGACGGCACCATCACTGCTCCTGCTAAAACTAACGCTCTTTTTTATGCTTGGGAAGCATTGCAATACTATCATTATATATGGATAAACAGAAGTCTTAATTTCCATATTGCACAAAATTCTTGCAACTCATCACGAAAATATTACTATTTATGATATATAACTCCACTACAAGAAAAAGTTAAATTTCCCACGGATAATTTCCCACGGACAAAAATCCGACGAAATTTCTGACAGATTTTTAAATGATGGAATTTCCGACGGATTTAAATCCGTCTGAAATTTCCGATGAAATTTCCCACGGATTTAAATCCGTCTGAAATTTCTGAATATAAATTTGGTTATATCCAGAATAACCATCGAGCAAAGTCATAATTTCATTACCTGCAGCGGCGTCTATCATAGTTTCTGTTATGGGCATAGGATACTCATCTTTGGGAGTTGCCATATTAAGATCTCGAAAATCAATGCATACTCTGAGTTTCCCGTTTTTCTTCATAACTGGCACTATATTCGAGATCCACTCGGGATATCTTGAAGTTCTGATGAACTT